ATGTTTCATTATCGCTCTGATCCATTCTTCGAACTATTACGGCTGCATGTCCAACGCCAGTTTTCGCGCGAGCAAGACCTGATTTGGTGATGGACAGACGATTAGCATACTCAGGAGGAACAGAATATTCCACAGCAGATTGGGGCCTAAATCCACAAATCTGCCTGACTACTTTATACCCGTGAAAAACTCGCTATAATACTAACCAGGTCGTCTCAAGCTGCAAGTCGCTGTTCTGGGCTAATCTAACGACAGGCACTGGTAAGTTTGGTTGTTTCAATGACAACGGTTCTTCCACTCGTATCACCACTGTGTCTTCAAACACGCGTTTTGAGCCAATAAAATGTTCCTTAGCATTTGGGGAAAGCTCCACACGTACCTAATAGAATCAAAATCACCAAAATCAATGAAAGTCAAAACCCTACAGACTTTTACAGTAGCTGAGCCAGCAGTTCCTCCTTCTAACCATATAGCGAAGTGATTTTCATCAGTTTCTGACATAAACGAACCAAACGGATGAATTGCTTGTAACACTCCTGGATGGCTCACGGTCCAGATAACCTAAAACAGTAAAAAGGCAGATTAGCTTTTAGTTGTCCTATCGCAAAAAATTCACCTTGAATGGATATAAAGCTCCACCAAATGCGAAAGGTGACTCGTCTTCATCCAAACCATTTACTCTAACCCAAATGCGCCCTCCCCTCTCAGTCATGTGAGAGCTGGCCACAGCTCGGACTCCAGCCAATGAGACCACGTGGAGCACCACAGTATTCTGAGAACTCATCAGTGTAGCAGTATTTAATATTTTGAAAAAAAAAATTAAAGACCTGTGATGAGTGTTCCCCACCGACGTTAACAGTACCGGTGATTGATGTATACCCCAACTTCTTAGAGGTAATTAGTGCATTCGGTTCAACTGTGGCAATTTTGGAATTGTTGAGAGTAAATTCGATTTGTGGGGTAGGCTGTGGGCCTCCAATCACTTCTAACTAAAGAAGAAACATTTGAATAAGGTATAAACTTTGTCTATTTTTCTTCTCCTGTGTCAACACTTCCTCTCCCCTCTATGCCCCTCTCCCTCCCCCCCGCCTCTAAAATATCACGGTATTCAGCATAAAACACTCTGCCTTACTTGGAAAGTACTTTCTGGGATAAGCGTGATCTTCTGAGGATGAAGTGTGAACGACGAAAATACTTGAATTGTATGTGGACGAGAATTCAGAATTTTTCCAGAAGTTGATTTCGCTGATGCTGTCAATGAAACCGCACCCACGGAAAGGGCTCTAATACGATGACGTGAACCAGAAATCCTAAAATAAGTTTCAGCAAAAATTGTGGAGCAAATGTCAATTTGCAATGCGTACTTGGTAATATGTACTGCAGGATCAGCGGACTGGATAACAGCGTTGGAAAGTGCACCATGGTCTCGAGAGAACGAGCTTCCAGCCTCATCGACCGCGTCAACGGAAACCTCAGCTTCAGATCCAACTTCCATCTGAAGAAATTGTGGAATTAAAGAGAAGATAAACTGATTTAGCATACAAATTGCGGTCCATAGATGACAAGTGAGTGAATGTCGGTGATCTTCACAGGAATGTCGAGAGGATCTCCATTGACACATAAATCTTCTATGCGAAGCGAACCTCCTCCCTGCGCTTTTGGAGTTACCTTTAAAAAAATTGTAAGCAAAAGGCTAGAAATATGAAGCTTTTAAAATATACCAGAACGGTGCTGTCCTTCACAGATGCACCAAATGGTGCACCTGGTAGTTCGTGAACACGGAAATAACCAGATCCATGACTTAACCTCACTGTGCCTAAGGCTACAACCTCATTCCACAGAACCTTAATGAGTCATGAAAAGCCATTCATAAAATAGTCAGATGACTAAGAACACACCAGACTAGGCGGTTCCGCT